CACCACATTATTTTTAATAGAAATAATGAGGATGGAGAATTAATTCTTACATTTCTGTTTTCTTAGTGTATTTATTAGTGTGGGTGTTCAATAGCTCAATGGCCATCTCAATTGACATGTTTAATAAGAGAAACACACAATAAAGAGCCATATTTTCTTTTGTTTTTCTTCCGTTCCCTCCCTATTCTTCCCCTCCCCTTTTATGTTTGTATTGGGAATAGATGAATGCTAGTCAAGGACCAATCTACACAATGCTCAGGCTTCCATTTTGTTTTCCTTCTGCCCAAAAGATAGCACTTCACTGCCCTCCTCTCTATATTCCAGATCTCACATTTTTTCTGTCCTCTCTTCCATAACATTTGCAGAGCCATAAAAAGGGTGATAGAAATGTTATATTTAGAACCGATCACTACACTGTTACTTTTCCTTAGCACCTCGGGTGACGAGGAGTGTCTCTGCATTGATTGTCATTCACACATAGAGAATCTTCTCTTGTTAAGGCTGGAAGTACTATTTGCCCATGGATACAAATATAAATATTTCATAGCCTAGTTCCAAGAGAGGAAGGTTTGAATCCATTTCTTATTTAGGTGTTTCTGCATGATCAAGATTTGTGAAATACTAGACTCTTTAGTCTTTCTTTTTTTAAAAAAAAAAGATTAAAAATTACACTTATTTAGTGTGCACAGGTGAAGGTCAGGGAACTACGTGGGAATTGGTTCTCCCCTTTTACCATGTGGATCCCATGGACCAAAGAAAAAAATCATGTCCTCAGGCTTGGCATCTTTTACACCTCTTGAATCCTTGTCAGTCTTCTTTATTTGTTTGGTTGCTTTTGTGGGAAGCTCCACATTCAGTCTCTCCCTCTGTCATTTTCCTTTAATGAACTCTCTCCAACAGTGGAGTAGACGCAGAACTAACATGGGGGATATCTGAAAAAGCCATTTGGAAACTTAGTGTTTCTTAAATTCATGTGAAGGAGTTTAATTTGGGTTACCGTAAAAATCACGCCTCTCCCAGAAGTCACAGATTGCCAAATAAAAAGTCCAGTGTCAAGTATGGGACACCTCCCCTTAAGCTGTTGTTAGGCTATTCCAGAGACACCCCCAAACAATATAGGCTGTTGCCACTGTTTCTGATTGCCCAGGAATTGATGGTAAGTCCCTACTGTTGAAGACAGCATGACCTTTAGTCACAGGACCTGGAGAAATCAAGTTGGCGCTGACCAGTAAGTTTCTCCCATGCTGGCCAACTTTCAGAGGACTGGAAAGTGCTATGTAGACTGCTGTTGGAGGGGGTCATCAATAACCCACCTAATAACCTGTAATAATCACCAGTAAGGTAATATATGCCATGACTGCAAGAATGGCACAAAGGTTTTGGGAGTAACAACTACTTTCTGATTGGATTTAAGGCCTGTTCCCTGGGATGAAATGCATGTTTAGTACTATAAACCATCCAAAACTCATAGCTGGGAAGCTCCCAGGCTTTGGTGGTGAACCCATCACTACTGTTTTGCTAATGGATATGGTAGCAAACAGTTCTCTACATTTATGTCTCTCTATCCACAGACCAGCATAGCTCTCACATGTAATGAGAGAGTTTTCTCTGTGCCGCAGATGGTGGTTAATGCAGAAACTTACAAGTGATCAAAATGCATAAAATAAACATCTCTGGTGCGCACTTAGCCAAGGAACATCTATATCACACCTTCTCCCCTGAAGGTCCAGGGACCAAGTGGAAGAGGAGGTGGGAGATCATAAGAGCCGAAGACTGAGGAGGACCAAAGGAAAACAATGTCTTCCGGACAAGGCAGAACCACTGCTCTCATGAACACTCAGTAGCTGTAGCTGCTGTGTAAAACCTGCACAGGGTCAAGCCAGTCAATATTTACCGGTACGGGTGAGGTGGGGCTCATGGGCCCCTGCTCCTGAGGTGCTATTGTTTTGAGATGGTTTCTAGGGAAGGGAGAGCAGCTTTCTTCAAGGGTGTGGTTCCTGATAGATAGACCATATGCCAGTGAATGATCCCACACCCAGGAGTATATGAGAAAACACAAATTGGACTCAGTGGTTATAAAAAAAAGAGAAAAAGACAAAGACAGGACATGAGATTGAGATTGAGGTGGGTGGCAGGATCCTGGAAGAACTAGGGGAAGAAGTAGAGATGAATATGGTAAAAATACACTGTATAGGAGACCACTTCCTAAATATAATACCAGTAGCACAGACATTGAGAAAAACAATTAACAAATGGAACTTCCTAAAACTGAGAAGCTTCTATAAAAGCAAAGGACACGGTCAACAAGACAAAATAGCAGCCTACAGAATGGGAAAAGCTCTTCACCAAGCCCACATTGGACAGAGGGCTGATCTCCAAAATATACAAAGAACTCAAGAAATTGGTCATCGAAAGAACAAATAATTCACTTAAAAAATTGGTACAGAGAACTTTCAACAGAGAAATCTAAAATGGCTGGAAGACACGTAAGGAAATGCTCATCATCCCTAGTCATCAGAGAAATGCAAATCAAAACACTCTGAGATTCCATCTTACACCTGTAAGAACAGCCAAGATCAAAAACACTGATAACAGCTTATGCTGGAGAGGATATGGGGTAAAGGGAACACTCCTGCATTGCTGGTGGGAGTGCAAACTGGTACAGCCCCCTTGGTTATCAGTATGGAAATTTCTCAGAAAATTAGGAAACTACCTACCTCAAGACCCAGCAATATCACTTTGGGTATATACGCAAAAGATGCTCAATCATTCCACCAGAACATGTGCTCAACTATGTTCATAGCAGCATTGTGTGTCATAACCAGAACCTGGAAACAACCTAAATGCCCCTCAACTGAAGGGAAATGTGGTACATTTACACAATGGAGTACTACATAGCAGAAAAAAATAATGACATCTTGAAATTTGGGGGCAAGTAGATGGATCTAGAAAACATCATATTGAGGGAGGTAACCCAGACTCAGAAAGACAAATATTATATGTACTCTCTCATAAGTAACTTTTAGACATAAAGCAAAGAAAGCCAGCCTACAATTCACAACCCCAGAGAACCTATATAACAAAAATAACTCATCAACTAGGTGGATTCTGTTGGGAAATCTTCACCAAAGGTTTTGAGGATAATTTTGGAGATGTACTGATTTTATGGCAGAGAAAACCACCATTTGTTGCTACCCATCTGTATATTTTGCACCCTTCCACGAGGTAGGCCTAGAGAGAAGCAATCAATGAGCCATCCAGTAATGGCTCTGAGCTGGGTTTTAACTAGCATCATTCCCTGGATAACTATGGCATCACCCTACCTCATTCCAGTGGCAATGTTACAGCTTTGGAATGGATCTAATGACTCATTTCATCTTTCAACTGACGTATAGACTTTAGGCAGATAAGTAAGTGCCTCTGGGCTTAAGCCAGAGGGCATGGTGGAACATTCCAGTTGCTTATCTGGTTCTGTCATTGGGTTTACTCCCAGTGGCACCTGTGAGCACTGAAGACATGTCGTAAACGGTAATGTATGTAGTAGGAAGGTATAGGGAAGCCTAGGGTTTGCCTCATTTGTGCTATGAGAAGAATATAGTCATGGAAAACACACAGGTCAAAATGGAGGCTTGTATAGGTTCAGGGCATGGTGGAAAACATCTACTGGTTAAACTGGATTGTTATATGCCAGTTTGAATTATGAGGCTGACATATTGCAAGAGCTTAGGGTCATCTTCTACTAAATAGAAATGAAGTCATCTGATAGCAAGATCTATAAAAATTGTTTTATGTTATTGAAATATGTGAACAACTTTTGATACCCTCTACTTCCTGTAGAGAGTTCTGGGGCTAGTATTTGCATATTGTGAGCAAAGAGAGTCAAAGAGCATGATGACTTCCCCAGTCACTCATGAGCTTCTGCCATGGACTCTTAGGCAATTAGTCATTCTTTAGCCCCAGAAGACACAGCAATCTGTTCTAAAACTGTTCCATGGACACATTTTTCCTAACCGTACAAAGAAACTTCACAATTAAATTACCAAAAAGGTTGGTAGCCCTATCAACTGTCCCCCATGAGGTTTTCCTTGGTGTATCTTGTAAACCGCAGAACAAGATGGATCACTGTGATCCTGGCAGAGTTACGTCTTTTCTGGGGCTAGCCACAAACCTATAAAGGCAGCGAGAACTTTGAAAGGGCAATCTTACTGTATTTATGAAAACATGCTGTGAGAATGCTGAGATAAAGTGATCCTGATTCTCTCCCAGAGGCATTTTTTTTTAATTTTTTTAATTTTTGTTTTATTTTTTTGTTGTTGTTGTTTTATTAGAAAAACCACTGAAAGTAGAAATAAAAAGTAACTTTTCAAGGTTCTATTTCCAAGTTCAATTCACTTCTTAAATTAGGGTCTCAGCCCTTTTGGCACTTGGTTTTGAAAACAATTTGCTATTTTTCCTTCTTTCCTAAAATACATATTTATTTTTATTTCTTTTATTTATTTATTATTTTTATTTTTTTATTTCTATGTGCATTGGTATTTTGTCTACTTGTAAGTCTGTGTGAGAGTATAGTATTTACTGGAACTAAAGTTATAGATAGTTGTGAGCTGCCAGGTGGGCACTGAGAATCGAACTTGGATCCTCTGGAAGAATAGTTGGTGCTCTTAACTGTTCTTAAGTGGGCTTAGCAATATGTTTTTAAAAAGAACAGGAAAAAATGAGAAAATAAAAGGTAAGAACTTCATACAATGGGGGATAATTCTATTTTAATGTTGGTGAATTTCCTTCAGGTTTGTTGACATAAATATAAGTAAACATGATTTTCTATGATGATTTAACCCATCTTTTATGATCTTGCTTCTTACTTGTCTCCTATCATTATGTGACAGTGTTCCTTGTCTTATAAGTACTTCAAAGATCACCTTGCCTGCATTCACCTGAGCCCAGCAGATGTCCATGCAGCGACTATCCACAGAGTTGCACAGCGGGCCCATGGAGCGGACATGGGCAGAGCGATGGTGGATAGACTGGGTCTGGGGTTGCTGCTTCTGGCACTGCTCCTACCCACACAGATTGATTGCAACCAAACATCTGTTGCACCGTTTTCAAGTAACCAGAATATCTCTACTGCCCCAAATCCAACTAATGCCACCTGCAGAGCAGGCGGCAGGGCCCTGCAGTCAACAGCCGGTCTCCTCGCCGTCTCACTTTCTCTTCTACATCTCTACTGTTAGAGACTCAGGCCAAGGATCTTCCCCATCTTCTAGAGCCACCCCAGATGATAACCACAAATCCAGTGTAACCCAGAAGAAATAGGTCCATATCAAATTTGCTACTACCACACCTCAACAGAAAACATGGAGAATTCATGTGAAAGATTTGACAGATGGTGAATGCCAATATTGAATCTGCTGGAGTTTTATGATCACGATGAAGATAACAGCCAGAGCTGGCATGATTTCCTTGAATGTGGACACTTAAAACTCTAACTTGAAATCAACGTAGGTTTTCTGTAGAGATAATGATGGGATGTGGGACAAAGATTCAGTTTTCATTGGCTCATTCAACCTATAAGGCCATAACACGGTTAGGTGACCGTAAGAAGCTTCTCTGATGCTATTTGTGTATATGTTGAAGGAACTACCAGGTGTTACTTTAAATCCTCATTGCATTGTTTCCTTACTACTAATTTAATATGCTAAACTCTAGGTAAAGTTCTCCATTGTTGAGTTGTTCTCTTTGGAATTGAACATTTTATCCACTCCAGTGACTTTAAGTTTGACATTATATTTGACCCTTAATAGTATTTGACATGTGCCAGGCAACAACAGATTGGAATCCACCCCCAAATCCAGCCATCATTAAATAAATCTTATTTCAAAAGTCAAATAGTAGGCATTTTCCATCATCTTTTTTTCACTCAGCAAGTGTGCCAGATTCCCTTAAGTAAACCGGTTCCAGAGAGCAGAATTGCGCTGACTTCAGTCAATTTCAAAATGCCAATTTCTGCATATGTTGAGGGGTTTTCAAAATTTAAAGTGTGGTCTGTTAGGAAGGCAAATTTATGAATCTTGAGATTCTAAAGGCAAATATGCAAAGGAGTCAAAACCATAAACCTAGCCTTTGGGGCTTGAAGCCTGGAAGCTAACTTGCATTGAATTATCAGTCTTTTATACAATTTCTGTAAATACTCTTTTAAAAACAGAGAAACAAAACAGTGGATCAGAATAGCCACATTTGGAATACTTTGGTTATCAGTTCGTATTTTTAGGTAGTTTGACATTGGTCCTGTGCCTGGAAGGGAGCTTGGCTTTACCGTGAGTTTTTCCAGTGCCTTGATACACAATGCCCTTCTAAAACATAGACATTCCTTGAAAAAAACTGCTTTGCTCGCATGGTCACATACTGATGCTTACACATTCTGGGGTCTAATATGGCTGCAATAGTCTTGATAACCAGTCATTTTCAACACCTGTAGAAACCTGCCTGGGATCAAGGAGATCTCACAGATCCAAAGGTACTCCCTCTCTCCTCGTACCTGAATGTTATACATCTATTTGATTGTATATTGTGTTTGTGTATTTATGCTTTGATTCATAGTAACTTCTCATGTTATGGAATTGATTTACATTGAATGCAAAATGTAAATAAAGGAAAGAAATGGATGAAAAAAAAGTACTTCAGAGTATTAAATGCCAACAAAACACCCAACCGTATGGTTGTTTTATAATTATTTTATGACTATTATTGAGTATTTGGGTTTTCTTATCATTGAACTTCCTACTCTAGCTGCACTTCAATGAGCAGCTTTGCATGTCATTTTTAAAAGTTAATAACTATTTTATTCTTTAAGAATTTCATCCATGTATAATCAATGCTATATGACCATAAGCACTCCCACTTACCCCTTCCGGTTTGTTCCACATTCCTCCAGCACCCTCCTCTTTAGTTTCATGTCTTTTTTTTCTTTTTGACAACTGACCAAGCCTGATTAGAGCCACCCATGTGTGGATGGGTGTGGGACCATCTACTGGCTTGCTGGAAACCTACAGGCGGTCACACCCTCACAGTGGAATGACTTTCCTTCCCCCAGCAGCTATCATCTCCCACCAATAGCTTCTCACTATGGGGTGGAGCCTGAAGATCACCTCCCTCTTCTTCCTCATCTCCTGCATTTGGTCAACTTGATTTATGCATGTACCCAAAGCTGTGTGATCTCAGGAGAGCAATAGCCCTGCCATTTGTAGAGGACAGGGTTTTACAACCCTCCTTTCCATCCTCCGTTTCTTACATTCTTTCTGCCTCCTCTTCTGAAATGTTGTTCAAGACACAATGGGGTAAGATGTTAACAAAAATGCTCCACGTAGGGCTGAACACTCAGTTTCTTCTTCTCAACTTTTTGACCAGTTCTTTGCCTAGAGATTTTGCATTCAGACATACTCACACATGTGCACATGCATGCGTGTGCACGCAAAAACACACACACACAGAGGAATAATAGTTAATCTTGGTTGGCAACTTGGTAAGACCTAGAATCACTATGAAAATGAACTTCTGGGCATACATAGGAGGGAATTTCTAGATTAGGTTGGTTAAGGGAAGTGGGAGAAAATACCCTGCACTTCACATGGGTGTTACCCATCCATGGCCTGGGGTCCTCGACTGGATTAAAAAGAAATAAGTTGAGTATAGAGATATTCAGCTGTCTCTGCTTCCTGACTATGGATACAGTGCGCCCATCTGTCTTCTGCTCTTGCTGCCTTAACTTCCCCTCAAAGTGTGGACCAGAGGAAACCATTCCCCCTAAAGGTGCTTTCGTCAGATATTTTGTCACACCAATGAAAAAAGAAAACTAACACACACACACACACACACACACGATTTAAAGCACTGGAGATTGAATGCAGAGCCTCACATATGACAGACTGGTGTTCTACCTCAGAGTACAGTCCTAGCCATCCTTTAAGTTTATTTTGAGACTGTCTTATCAGTTGCTCAGACCAGACTTGAGCTCTATAGTCCAGGCAGGTCCTGAATTTGCAATCTTCTAGCCTCAGCTTCCAGAGTAGCTAGGATTACAAGCACGTGTCGCTGTCAAACCTGCCTTTAATAGATAGGTCTTGTCTTATATAAACAATTAGGCTTAGGTGTCCTAGACTGGAGAAAAATGTCATAAATAAATACCTGAACGTTCTGTACAGAAGTGTAGTAAGCTTAAACCTGTATAAAACTGAAGGATTAAAGCCATGCCCATTATTTATTGCACCGACAAGTGGGTCTTTTAGCCAATGGCACTGGTAAAGGTCAAATGTTATTCTCTACACTATCCTGAAGCTTCATGCTCTGAAAGACCATGGGGACTCAGTGACAAGGATGAACAGAATTCTTTAGCAAGTTACTCTCTGATCAGTCAGACAGTTATTTTTAGCTAGCTTCTTCATGGCAGTGCTGAGAAAAATATGTAGGGGAATTTTCCACTTTACAATAGGGAGCTACCATGATTTCATCATCATTGGAGCAATAGCTCAGTTACATATTAAAACCTTTGGTCTGCTGAATAAATATACTTAGTACCCTGAGGCTCCTTTGGAAAGTACGGGAATGACAGAATATACCTTCTCTCCTTCCCTCAGCTCTCTGCTTCTGGTTCTTGCATTTCTCTGGCAAAATATCTACTTGATGGGGTTAGGGTGTGGTGCATTTACATCACGAGACAGTCACTCCTCTTCTCCAGGAAGGAAAATTAAAAATTATCAACCGTTAGTGAGTTTATACCAGGGCACAGCAAGCAGGGGTGAATACCGAGTCATGTGGCAGATTAAGACTCCACTTAGTGAGTCTTGGTTGTTGTCCTGCTCATGAGCCAATTCCTTACTTCCCAACATTGCTAACTGTGTAGGGAAAAGGGCCGACTCTACAGAGAATATCTGGAAGGATTTTGCTGTATCAAAAGCTATTGAATATATACATGAGTTTTGACTCCACAATTGCATGTTTTGGGTTTCTCTTAAGAAAATCACTAGGAATATGTGCAAAAATTCATGCAAAATGCTTTTCACAGTACCAGTGATAGTAAGTAAATGACTTGCAACAACCTCTGAAGATAGACCATGGCTAAACATGTAATAAAAATAAAAATGATGGAAAATAATGACACAGAAAGTTTGTTGATATGGGCCAGATCCATAGCCTTAAATAAAAAGGAGACTCTTATGGTGCGCATAGTTTATACTAAACATATGACTAGCAACCGGCCTAAAAGTGGTTTGGTATTTAAAGTCTCTGACCTCTGAATGGCAAGCACATGATTCTTTTTTTTTTTGCTATATTTATATATTTATATTTCAACAGGGTATGAATGATAGAATTTACTTAGTATTGTGAATATGGGCATGCATATTTGGTAGTCATCTGGTAGTCAGAAGACAACTTTTGGAAGTTAAGACTCCTCTTTTCACTGTGCTTTCCTGGGATCAAACTCGTGTTGTCAGGCCTGGGTGGCAAACACTGTCACCCACTGACACATCTCAATAGCTCTATGGCAAATTTTAAAGTAACAAACCTAAAAAAAAAAACTATTTTTTTACTGTATTTTGCTTTATAGAATTTCTCCAGCTTCCACAAAAAGACAGCGGATGATTTGTATATTCAGCTTAACAAGCATATTTGTGGTAAAAATCTTTTGAGGAAAAGATGAACCCTTTAATCGTTATATTAAGAACATTTTAGAAGTTCAGGAGAGAGATGTTTCTGAGGCTCACAAATGCACAGTTCTTAGACTGTTATGGAGCCCCCCACCCAAAGCCACCATCAACTCCAATACATCATGACACTTTCTCCTCGGGATCCTTCTCAACGTATGTCATAGAGGCTGGCATCTATTTGCCACCTCAGGAAGTTGTCATTTGCCATTTAGCTGTCACACTGCTGGAGAGTTTGTTGTGCTTCTCCACTGAGTATTCTTTTCAGAGAAGTCGACTAAAACAAGAGGCTTAGCGTTTCATCAAGGAAAGTCCTCTGGAGAAGATGCCACGAAGGCTCCAGAATATTTAAATAAGTCAGTGTAGTGGTGTGGCAAACATCATGCATTGCAGACGTGACACATCGGAAACATTTTTGTGGTACAGCCAATCTGTCACTGTGCAGCTGTCAACTCTATACACCTAGAGCATTTACGTGTCTTCTCATGGCTCTAGTCTCAATCCCAGACATTCAGCGTCAGACTTAGAAGAAT